TTTATTATGGTTTAATTTTAATTTTGTTTATTTCAATTTTTTTAGTGATTTTGAATTTACTGTATTTTAATTTTAAGATTTCATTTATTTAACTAGTTGCTGGAGTTTATGTGTTAACTCTTAAATTACCTTGTATGTGTGTTATGCTGTCTTGCACATCATCAAGAGATTGTTACTACAAATTATGACCTGATAATTAGTTTACTATTAATGGTATGTTGACTATTTTTTGAGTTTACTCAGTATATGTACATGAAATGTGGCAATCAGATATGTTACAAACATACCACGATATATCAGTGAAATAATGATGTCAGTTTGACTCGGACCAAGTTGGAGTGCTAGATGAAGTCCATGTGAAGAATAGAAATACGTTTGTCCATTGTACAGTTTGTGTACTGTATTTACATACCACAAACAGAAGCAAAGTAACTTTACAATCATATTATTATGACAGCGGAATTTCAACAACAGACCAGGATCTGATGATGAATAGTCTGTAGCACCTGACGTAGTCAACAACAGGCCAGGGTCTGATGATGAATAGTCTGTAGCACCCGACATAGTCAACAACAGGCCAGAGTCTGATGATGAATAGTCTGTAGCACAATAGTCTGTAGCACCTGACGTAGTCAACAACAGACCAGGATCTGATTATCAATAGTCTGTAGCACCTGATGTAGTCAACAACAGGCCAGGATCTGATGATGAATAGTCTGTAGCACCTGACGTGGATAATCAGATCCTGGTCTGTTGTTGACTATATCAGGTGCTACAGACTGTTCATCATCAGACCCTAGCCTGTTGTTCACTATGTCAGGTGCTACAGATTATTCATTATCAGATCCTGGCCTGTTGTTGATTACATCAGGTGCTACAGACTATTCATCATCAGATCCTGATCTGTTGTTGATTACGTCAGGTGCTACAGACTATTGATCATCAGATCCTGGTGTGTTGTTGACTATGTCAGGTGCTACAGACTATTCGTCATCAGAATCTAGCTTGTAGTTGACTACGACAGGTGCTACAGACTACTCATCAATATAATCTTGCTTGTAGTTGACTATATCATGTGCTACAGATTATTCATTATCAGATCCTGGCCTGTTGTTGATTACGTCAGGTGCTACAGACTATTCATCATCAGATCCTTGCCTGTTGTTGATTACGTCAAGTGCTACAGACTATTCATCATCAGATCCTGATCTGTTGTTGATTACGTCAGGTGCTACAGACTATTGATCATCAGATCCGGATCTGTTGTTGATTACGTCAGGTGCTACAGACTATTCATCAACAGAATCTTGCTTGTAGGTTGACTATATCATGTGCTACAGACTATTCATCATCAGATCCTAGCCTGTTGTTGAGAACATCAGGTGCTACAGACTATTCATCATCAGACCCTGGCCAGTTGTGGACTATGTGAGGTGCTACAGACTATTCATTATCAGACCCTGGCCTGTTGTTGACTACATCAGGTGCTACAGACTATTAGCAATTGAAAAGGCAAACATCTGAATAATTCATCATCCACAATGATACTTCCATGTCAGTAGCAGTTTAGGCTAATATTTTTAAGTTTGATTGGAGGTGTACTGTAATCCTGTCATGAATGCAATACACCCTCAGGCAGTTCACATGACTTATGGATTGAAAACAAGTCAGTTCATGTCTAAAGTTCAGCTAGCAGTGTAATATAAATATAATGATCACTCAGGCCATCACCTAACCCGTTCTAGGAAAAGATTATCTGGATTTTAGTGTAGTGCACGTGCTACACTTTAGGTCACTTGCGGAAAATCCAATTATCACTATAATGTTGGCACATCTTTATTCCATGAATGATCCACATTGTTTTGTATGGAATAATCCACATATGACTACCTTGAACAAACCTCTGACTATACTGGCTCTTGGCAGTGGTCAATGGCCAGCAGAAACAGCTATGAACACAAGTCTTCCACCATTCTCTGCTTGTCATTGAGACAGAACTCGGGTCTGATGGGGAATTGTAGGAGGTAGAACTACAACAAAACATCTGATACTTGTAATCAAAATTAGGTCAACTACTTCAAATAAAGTATACTTACCTCTGAAATACTAAAAGCTTTTCTTGTTGAGTTTTCTCATGCTATCAACAACCAGGTAACTTCAAATTATTAAAGCTGGTTGATTAGTGGAATTTGTTAATCAGTTAATTGATAGGCTCCTTAATATATTTTTTCATTAATTCATTCATTCTAGGCTGTGTCCACCCACTGCAAGACGTAGCCCTCCGCCAAAGATATCCAAGTATTTCTATCTGCTGCTTTCCTTGCCATATGATGCCATCTTCTGTGTGGTCTACCTCTTGATCTCTTCCCTCTGTGATTCTTTTCATCCATCTGTTGTCTTTGAATCGAGCGATGTGTCCGGGCTATTTCCATTTTGATTCTGCAAGATACTTAGAGATGTCTCTTACCCTGGTATTTCTTCTGATATCTGAGCACATAGTTTTATCCTGGAGCTTAGTCTTTAGCATCTTTTTTCCGTTGCTCTTTGAGTTGTCTGCAATCTTGAGTTAAACTGTTTAGTGAGTGTCCAAGTTTGACATCCATATGTTAAGGTTGATAAAAACACATTGTTCGAATACTTTTCTTTTAAGGGTTATTGGTAGTTTTTCATCTTGAAAGATCTCTTGGTACTTCCCAAAGCAGCTCCAGCTAGCTCTCATTCTCATTCTTATTTTCTTTTTTGTTGTATTTTTTAATTATCATTAACCTATTACATTCAACTAATTGATTTTTTAATCATCAAAGCAAAAACATGTAGTTGTGCTGGTCGTTATCAAAGTAAGAAACAAAAACAAAGCTTGTAATGCTAACAGTCAAGTTTTGAGAAACAGAGGGCAGAGCATAGATAGCCCATTATGTTGCTTTATGCTCAATAACGCACAAACACAATGGTAAATTTTCAATAACTTTGATTATTGGAATGATAAAAAATAGTAGTCATATGAAACTTAAGTTTAATTACTTGAGAATCGTGACACTAATAGGTTAAGCTGAACAAACATGAATTAATTACAAATAATAATAAAATCATTATTTCAGTATTTATCTAGTGGATAGTTGGAATAGTTGAAAACAGTAATAATAAAAAACTAATTTTAATTAGTTGATTATTTTTGTGACATTTATCAATTTAAGTGATTATTTTACATGACACTAATCAATGTAACTGTTGCTCATAGGTAATTGATTATGTTGTCCATCTCTAGCCTCGATACAATGCATAGTATACAAACTTAACCATAATTCTTCACTCTTCTTTCTTCCACAAGACTTATTGTAAATGCATCAGGAGAACATACATAAGCCCTGTTTTTCTGTCATAAGTCAGATTTTCTTATTGACAGTTGTACTGTTAGCATAACTCACTGTGAAATTATATTTACATCATATTGCTGTCTCTTCAGCTTCAGAATTCATTATGTCTCTGGTTGTGATTCTTTATGCCAGGTGGAATCCCTAGCTAAAAAGTTATTCTCTGTTACATACTTTTCTCATTTAGCATTTGGGTGGCCCCACATCTGTTTAGTGCATGGCAACCTGCATATCTTTATGACCCCCATCACACCTACCAACAAATCCAGGGTGTCTAAGGTTGTGAAATTATTTAAAAACAGAAGAAAAAATCCAGTTTCTTTGTGAAATACAACACTCATGTCTGGATTTGTCCAGTTGGGACTCCCACATATATCTCTGTGTTTTCACCCTACTTGAGAGGGTGGTGCCATCTGGTAGCTGATAATGCTTTGGTGGCTACATTTCTTACTTCTAGATGCATGTCCTTATTTAGCATTCAAGATATCAGAGATGAAATGCCAGTTCTTCATGTGATGCCTCATAGCTCCAACCAGGATAGGGATCTTTGTTTTTACTTTCTTTCTTAGCTATAATTGGTGTTCCCATTGTTAGAATTGTCAAACCCTCGAGTGTCCACTAATTAGGCTGTTTTTATGACATGTCTAGATTTTCTAGAGTAGGATGAGGAGTACTTTAGCTTTAGGAGCATTCCCAGCCTTTAGTTACTACAAGTCCCATCCTCTACAGATATAGGGCAACACTTTGAGCTCTGACCCTTTTTCTGTTACTCCACCACCTGTGTTCACACCTGAGAAATGTGCATAGCTCTATAGGTGCTATTTTTAGGCCTAAATTTAAATTATGTTTATTTGCTGTTTGCAGTCAACCTGCCAGAAAACTAAGAGTTGAAAAATCTTTTGAGGTGCTGAAAAAGAAACTATGATTATTTTCTTTGCTTTACAGAAATATGTAGTTCAAGAAGGCTTGAGGATGAAATGAAAAGAGATGGAAATGAAGCATCCCAAAACCCAAGTTCAGTGGAGTAATAAATATTGTAACTCTGAATTTACTAAGTTTATGTTCATGAAAGTTTGCAGGCTTTTAGTATATAAATGAAAAATCAAAGATTTTATGAAATGCTTGCAGTAGAACTGATTGTGCATTTCAGGAACTATGCATAGGCCAAAAACTGAAAGGTGATTTTCAGGCTGTGATAAAATCCTTTTGTTAATCTTATAGTTGCATAACTTTTAGAAATAAATAACAATAAGTATATAAAGAAATATGTAATAATGAATTTGAAAATATACATAAGAATAAGTGAATAGACCTTGCCAAGTACATCTGATGTTGTCATATTTGGCAAGGCCTGATCACCATTCATACACTTGACTTCTACCTATATCCTGTCACCTGTTGACACTATCTCTGTCACATTTAATCCCTATTGTCTTGTAATAATATATAAACGTTGGATTGCTTGGTACTGGTCATACCTGAAGAAGACAGACTAATGCTCTGTAGAAACATGTAGTATGTTTGTTATGTTTATTAATTGTTGTTTGTCTATCTATTATTATATGACAATTATGTGCTTCTTTACACAAGTTTTAATCCTCACACTATTTGTATTTATATGTTTTACAGTTTCTTTTTATTGGAAATGGAGGTCTTGTATGTGGAGTGCAAAGAGAAGACTTGATGACCATTTTTAATGAATTTGGCCCAATAGAAGACATAGTAATGTTACCAGAAAAACCCTATTCCTTTGTTGTGTTTCAAGATGTTCAGAATGCTGAAGCAGCTATGCTGGCCAGTATACGTGGTGTTTTTCTACAGGAGTTGAATCATTCCTTTCATCTTTCATATGTCGATAAAGGTATAAAAATGATGCACTAGTGGTTGTTTATCTTAGTTACATCTGGTCTTGTATAAAGAAATCAGTGCCTGTTTTATAATTAAAAAATATAATTGTCTATCATGTAAACATATGAGGAATCTATGATAGAGAAATTAGCAACATTTCAAACATAACATTCTACTGTGTGTAGTTATTCTGATCTTAAGATGTTATTTTAGGCCTTTCTAGACAGAATTGAATACATTAAACATTATGTAAACATAATTAAACATTGAATACATTAAACATTATGTAAACATAATTAAACATTGAATGCATTAAACATTATGTAAACATTGAATACGTTAAACATTATGTAAACATAATTAAACATTATGTACCCATTGAATACGTTAAACTAAATGAAAAAAGTTTCATTTTTAGGTATTTATTCTTAAAACATCCGTCAATCTTGTGTAACAACAAATTCTGGGAAATGCATTTTCAGGTTTAACCTTATAACTGCATATGACAGGAAAGACAAAAAATACTGAACAATGCAACATCTGTTATATATAAGTAGGTTTTAATGTTTGGTGACAGCTTGATTGTGTAGTGAAAGAAACTATTACAACATTTTGACAAGCTTATGTCATCATCAGGCACAAAGAGTTTATACAGACACAGGAATAAATATATACAATATGGAACAATGAGGTCACATGACCAGAGATTGTTTAACATCTTGGTAATGGTACCCTGGGGTGTTGGTTAGAGTTTTGTTCAATTAAAATAGCATACTGTATTTTGCATTTGTTGATGTTTATTTCTTTGTATAAAATGTCAATGTTTTGTATAGATGTACTATGTTTTTCTTGAATTGCATTGGTGGTAAGCATAGGAAGGTGAATCTGGTTTCCAGTTTTCTTCTGGATAGTTATTGCACAATGTTTTATAAATGACATTATATGATATATATATATATTGTATATATGATATATTATATTATATGATTCTATGTAATTGTTATTTGGTAATGACTAGCTTTGGGCCGGGTTTTTGAGTCAACAGTCAAGTTCTCTCCAAGTGTTGATTATTTTTTAACTGATGTTAGGGATAAATGGTAAACTGCAGTGTAATGTTGTGTTGTTGTTTGGTATATCAGTGTCACTTTTCTTTGTGAGTTTGAGGGTATTTTTTCTGGTGGTTGTGTAGAAATTTTTTGACAACAGTTGGTATGAATGAAGGAATGCTTTATAAGGTCGATTTCTTCATCTATTTGTTAATTGAACAAAGTTTTGAAGCTGTGTTTATAAGGTTTTTCTAGTGAATAGATTTTTTGTTTGATTCATGGATGGAATTCCAGGGGGATGTAGAAGCTTGTGTGAGTGATTTAGTTGGTGAATTTTGGTTTTGAGCTATGTTGTGTTGGGTCTAACTATGTTGAGGTTAAGAAAAAAGAGCTGTTTGTTATTTCATGATCAATGGTGAGTGTAATGTTGGTGTGAACAGAGTTTATGTGTTCAAAAAACGTGTGTATGTGTTTGGTATAAGTGAAACCAGCAAAAGAGTCATTGATAGACCTGTACCAGTATAGGGGAGAATAAAGCGTGGATTGTATGGCTTGTGTTTCGATCTGGCACATAAATATGTTGGTGAGAGCAGGTGAAACAGGGTTACCTGTGCTTAAAGGTTTTGTTGCTGTTAATTCTAAGAGGGAAACAAAACATTTTCTGAGGGTGTGAATTAAAGGATTGGGGTAATTACAGTAGAAGTCAAGTACAATATTACATGCTTACTTAATGGGAATTTTGGTGAAAAATGACACAAGGTCAAAGCTAGCCATCAAGGCTTTAGTTGGTTAAATGTGTTTCTAAAATTAAAGACATCTTTAAAACAGGAGCCTACAGATGTTATGTAAGGTGTGAGTGCCCGTGCTATGCATTTACGAAGATTATAGTTAAACGAGTCATAAGTGGATACTATAGGTTGCATGTCCTGTTTGTGTGGTTTGGGAATGGCATAGAGTTGTGGTGTGTGTGTGTGAGTCAGTTTTCCTTAGATAAATATAAAAATCTTCAGTAATCAAGTTGTCTTTCTTCATTTGTAACAGGGTATTGTTTAGTTGTTTTTCATGTTTGTTTCTTTGGGATGGGTTTAAATCTCATATTATCTGATAAGTCTGATAGTTAGGGCACTTGCAATCTGCAGGTTGTTGGTTCAAATCCCCATCACTGAATATGCTCCCCTTTCAGCCATGGGGGCATTATAATATGATGGTCAGTGCCACTATTCATTGGTAAAAGAGTTGGCAGTAAGTGGTGTTGGCTAGCTGCCTTCCCTCTAGACTATCACTGCTAAATTAGGGTGCAGATAGCCCTTGAGTAATATTCAAAACAAACCAAACCAGCTTAAATTGACTTTCAATTATGTATGAAGTTTGGAAAGCTTTGGATTATTAAACCTTCCACAATTTTTCTTTTGACATAATTTCCAGTTTTCTATGTTAATTTGGCTGATTTCCAGTTGATTTTATGATCAAGATTCGTCATGTATGTAAGAATGTTGTGGATTTACAACAGAGGAGATTTTTTTTTATGGACGGACTTCTTTTAATTAACGGTTCAAGGTTGAAATTATCATTACATATAGTGGTGAAATCTGAATGAGTTATTGGATGTACAATTTCACATTATAAGTAGAATGTTTATTTAAAAATTTAAATGTTCTTTATTTTACATATTTTCCCCCATTGATACTGTTTCTAGATGCTCATTATTATTGTTGGTTAATTTTACTGCTGTTCTTCACATGATTAGAACATTCTTTTGATTGCATATTTTCTGTTGTGCCTTGATTTGCCCTCTAAGCATTGCTAAAAAAATTTTCGCTAATAGTGTACCAGTCTATTATCCATTTCGAGACAGGTGAAAAGCCGTGTCATCTCATTTGTTGACTTGCATTCAAAATTTTATTGAACTACTATTTCATGAATTTATATCAATAAGTTTGGTATCAAACTGTAGATTATAATTCAAATTTTAATATTACATATTACTCAATTTCTTAATCTAAAAGCAAATATTAAAAAACACAGATAAACATTGCTTTTTGTGTGATACGTGGTATGTTGAATGCAGCACTGGTTCAAATTAGATGTTTGTGTATGTCAAATACTAATTCTATAGTTTCATACAAATTAAAAATTCAAATTACAGATATTGACAAGCTAGAATATAAAATAAGAGCCTCTTATCTTTTCAACTTGCTAAGATATTACTCATTTAATATATAAAACACAGTGACACCCTGCCCACCTCTTTCCATTTTTGGAAACCCTCCCTTATATACTCTTCTATATATGACATGAGTAACCAATTGGAAGCTCAGAATGTTCCCCTAGTGGCTCTCTCAGCAATTTTAATATTCTTGGCACCATTTCTATTTTTGGAACTAATATTTCAATGAGGTAGGGTGCGTCTTTAGTCTGCTCAAACTTCATATTTTTTTAGACTAAAATATATCTTTGTTACTAAGCTTGATAAATTTTAGTTTAAAATTTATGGTATTAATATAGTAATTTATGATTTTTTAGTTATTCAAATGTATATATAAAACCTAAAAAAATATATTTTGTTTCATATCCTCCATGTGCAAATTTTTTAAAGGCTTAGCAACCTATGTTAAGCAGCAACCAAGTACAAAGTTTGTAACTGAAAGAGATAATTGTTTGCTTTAATTATTGTTCTATGTTTTAAGAAAAATAAGTTTAAGAACTTATTTCAAAATCGCAATAATCTGTATACATATAAAATGTATAATAATTGAAATTGGACTGTATTTTACAAAGTACTAGTTAACTAAAACATAGCCAAGACAAGTTATTTTGTACAGACCAAAGGTCAGTTTTATATTATTTGATACAGTAACATGAGTGCAAATGGGCTGCATCATTGTAACTTCTGTATTGTCAGACAGGCACGGGTGAAAGGTCAATATAAATATATATAAATGTATAATGTTATGAGTTTTAAGCTATTTAATCTAAACATTAATGTTTTCGTTTTATAATTTATGTTCATTTTAGAATGAAAGAGGCAAAATTTATATTTATTTCCTAATTTTTTATGGTGGTTGTGAGATTGGTCAAATCTACCAAATCCGTACAGTGATTAATTACTGAAAATAACAGATAAAATATAGAGTTTCTTCTTAAGAAACATTTGATAACTATCTAGACATTATAAAGATTTTGCATGTGAAATTAGAAAATTTTCTGATGCATAAAAGTATTTTTAATTCTTAAAACAAAAATTACTTTGCCTGATAGATAGGTAGCATACGAAAAGAAAAAAAACAATGAGAAAAATATTGCTATACAAATCTTAAGACTTATAAAAAAAATTGATCTT